TCATCTTAAGGCTTGAAAATTAAGCATGGCCCAAATTTCTGGTGAAGAAAAAAAGTGTGATATATGTAGCATTTTACAGTAACAACCTAAAATCTGCCATATGGTTTGTTTTAACTGGGCCACGCAGAACGACCCGCCAGCCACAGGAAGTGAGAGTTATTAACGACGCTGATGTTTTTACAGCCTACTTGCTGTCCAAGAGGAGGCCACACCTGTTGGTACATTGCTCTGTAATTGGTGTTATGGTGCTACCGTAATTCTCAGCCTCCATCATGATGAGTGGGTTCTTAAGGTGCTCATTAACCAACAGGATCAGAGCCAAGAACGATGCCAGCCCATGTTAACTGGTAGTTTGGTTTTAAATCTAGCCGTGTGGGAATATTCTCTGTCTATACCACTTCTTCCTGAGTGTCGGAGACAGAAACTGAGGTCAAAGTTGACAGGTAAAGCATCATTACTATGGATGGTATCGGCTGATGTTGGTCGCCTTCTACAATACTGGTATCAGTCCGTTATGGATAAACTGGGCTGATGTGAACAACCAATGATTGTTCCATCTTTGTGTTTTATGTTTCAGGAAGAGGTTGGTCATATGACAGTCATACTGATTTAGCACAGGGCTAGAGTGTTTTACTGATGTAGGGCTCAAACGATTAATCGGATTAGTTTTATTAATCATGAGGAATCGATTGTTTAAAAAATAATTAACTAGTTTAGTTATCAAATATCAGTTCACTGATCCATACAGACAAAAAAGCCATTTCCTGAAAGAACAACATAGCCAAAGCAGCAATTAAACCAAACAAAACTGAACAAAAATGTAAACATTTTGCATTTAAAATAAATAAAACTTTGTCTGTAAATATGTTCCACCCAAAACTCCTCGAGTGGCAGCTTTAGCTTCACTCGCTTCATATTCTTATTTATTTTTAATGTGTTAACGTATTTCTAACTTTATATAAAAAAAGTTTTAGTGGCTAAATGAAAAATATGCATCATGTGCCATTTTAAAAAATCTAATTAATCAGTTAGTCATCATAATGATCAATTACTAAAATGATTATTAGTGCAGCTCTAAAATGAAGCAGAGAATCGGTGTAGGCAGTTTGTTTGCTTTTAGGTGGTCTGGGAAGTTTCTGAAAAAAATATGATATTGATAAATATTGGTCATGAGCCATAGAAGAAATATTGAGTTTGGATATCATTATTGGTAATTATTATATTGGTTCATTACCGTCCCAGTGACTCAGTTCTTCTAAGAAGGTCCAGATTTGAACTGTTCAGAACATTAATGTGACAATGCAAATGATCAATTAAATTATAAAATTATTTTTTCATATAACTTAATGTAGTGTTTTGTTATTTCTTCTCAAACTTTTTAGATTTGCAGCTTGCATCAGAATCAAGGGAAACAAAGAAACAGCAGAAATCTGAAATAGAAGGAAAAATATGAACATCCTAAAACAGTGAAAGAGCAGATCAGGTCAGAACGCAGTCATCTGTAAATATATTTGCATGGTAATATCTGCATAGAATATGTGTTGCATGTCTGGTTTGTGCAGCTTGTGACTCAGAAGCTCCATGTGAAACGTGCAGCCTGGTGGCCTAATCTCCAGATCTATTTTTAGGTCTGTGGATGATGTAATTCAGCCAACAAAACTAGAGGCATTCTCTGAGTGTGTTTGCGTACAGAGGAGGGGGCTGCTGCTGTGTGTGAAGGATGACATGGATGTCTGTAATTCCTGGGAGAATCTTTGGGATGTGTGAAATCCTGCCGTTTCCAGAGGGAAATCTGGATGTGACAAAAGAGATTTCTTCTTTTATTAGTGACGTTTTTTCAGGACAGAAAAGCTTGACGCTCCTCTGCTGTTGTACGTGTGCTCCCATCGCAGGAGGCTTTCATTTTTCAAATTACAGGTCACCTTTGTTGTGGTTAATGTCCGACTCAGGAGCCTGTCATTACAACAACCTGCCTGAGAAGCATCTCCAGGTCCTTCAGGTGCTCAGAATGAGCAACCAGCTCAACCACATCATTCAAAAACATTTCTCCTTCACCGCATCTTCAGATTTATCAATGAAACCTTTTTTATAGAGTCTGTTTGTGCAGTCAAGTGTCACACAAAGTGCTTTCTGGTGGTTAAAAATAGGCAGACAGACATAAAACTCTTGGAGACAAACAATAAAAATGTTCTAAGGTGACAGGACAGAAAACCCCGAAATAAAATCAGTTAAGGCAACAAGGAATAAACAGAGGGAGGGAAGTCCATCAGTTCTTTTGTAATAGCTGCTTCCTGATGGACGTGCGTTGTTTTTACCTGGGAAATTCACTGTTCGATATCTTAGAGTTGATTTAAGATCTTTGGTTTTTGGACCTGATGGTGTGTAAAAGTTTAGGTCATTTTGTCGTTATTTGCTTCCTCCTCCCCTAATGGAAGCCTGTTTTTGTTTTTTGTTTTTAAAAAAAACATTAATAAAAGGATTTTAAACAAGAAACAAAGCATCAAGTTGAACCTTAGTGCATATATTTTCATTCTCATCCTTCATCTGACCTCTGTGCTCATCTGACCTCTGTGCTCCTCTGACCTCTGTGCTCATCTGACCTCTCTGCTCATCTCTACCCACCTTCTTTTCATCACCATTTGCTGCCAGGACTTCATGTGTTCATGAATTACCTCAACATGCTGGATGTTGCATCTCAAACTCACGAGGAGAGAACACAGGATTAAATCGTAAAGATTATTTTCAGATCAGTATTTTGATAACTTATTTAAATCAGGTTGAAATCTGAAGTTTGTTTCTAGTTTCTAAGAGATTTAAAGTCAGTGGGTTTTCCTTTAAAAATAATTTAATGATTTTGTATCATCAGTGGTTTTGTTTTTTAAATTTCTTTACTGGTTTTTACATCCTAACTAAAGAGTTGCATAAATTTTATCCTCTTTTATCCACTTTTTCTAAAAATGAGCAGATATTCTGGATTTTTTTCATCCAGTCATGCTCATTTTAATCAGTACTGCTCTTTTCTTTTTTTTTTTTTTTTTGATTATCACAGTTGTGGTAAAACGATGCATTTTTTAAAAACCATTATGAACTTCAAACAAGCTGGACGAGTTTCTACATTTCTTCCCTGAGGGACTGAATGCAGAGCAGAGCTGCTGCTGGTTTTAAACAGACCATCATGACGTGGTTTCAGTCATCACTGCATCTGCTGCTGCTGTTTTCTCTTCCTTCATTCTCTCTACATTGTTGTTATGCTTTTGTTCTGGTTTATCTGTGGAGTAAAGCTGACATTTAAATGCTGTATTGATGCATTTTTCCTGTCAGACACTCAGACAGAAAATCCAATGAGACGTTCCAGATGCATCAGCAAAGCCACATGCCAGAGAACATGAATGATCTTGTCCCCGTGAGGAATAAAATGTTAAAACATGAGAATTAACTGCAGCATGTTGCTGCACGTTTAAATGCTTCCGATGGGAAGGAATATTGTAAATGTAGTTTTCAGCCTTTTGCTTCTTGGATGTGTTTGTTTTTGGTGTTGAGCTGAAAATTTGGTGTTTAGATTCTGTTTGGAGTCATTTTGACTGGTCTGTGTGCTTCCTGTTGGCTTTCTGTAGCATCAGTGTCTAACATCTCATTTTAAAGTTCAGTCATCTTTAAATGAACTTTAAAATGGTGAGTTTTCTTGTAAATTTATCTTTTCCACCTCATGAATTCAGATTAATGTCATATACACAGAAAAAATATTAAACCTCAACTCTTTGGACGGTTTAGGATGCTGCTAATCTGACAATGAGTTAAAACACAAGTTTCATGGTTGCAAGGTCTTAAAAATGTATGAAACTCTAACCCTAACCATAACTAAGCAAAGTAATAGTTTTAGTAAGTAATGGTGAACACTAAAGTGCTAATAACATTAGTTTTGTTAATGCTAAATGACTTTACCACCATGCTATCTGGCAGAAGCTAGTGCTAATGTGCTAAATTGATATCCTCCATGTGTCAATGACAAAACCTGCATTTCAGCACATGTCACCTTAAATCAGTGGTTCCCAAACTTTTTGTTCTGCGCCCCCCCTATGGATTACAAATGGCTGTCTGGTTGAAACGACGCGTGTGACGGGGGAAGGGGGCATCAACTTTTTTGGGGGCAAAATGAATGTACGTAGCTGAAAATAGACACCAACATCGGTAGCCTACAAGCTACTTGTTAAGCTCAAGGTTCTGTATTGATGTTAGCTAGTCATCTTTAAGCTAACATTACCTGCATCCAACAGCTTTACTCAACTCAGTCTGTTAGTTTGGAGGGAAAAACTGAAAAGTTCTTTGCGTTTTGCTGGTTTGCTGCCGTGATTCTAACACACCTGTAGCTCCGCCCAGCAGCAGCAGGTCTCCTTCACAGGTGGAAACCCAGTGCTAGCGTCATAGCGCTCATGTTGCGTTTAAAGGCGGCTCGGAAAAAGAGGTTACCACATGTTAAGAACGGATTAAACAGTTTTAACTGCTGATAAAAGTGACAGAGGACACAAATATGGGAAGTGTGGAAGCATCTACTGTATCAAAGTGACATAGGAATAACAGAGAGTTGGCCATTCTAAGGTAAAAACCCAGCGCATACAGTGTTCATGTTTTGTTTTTTCATCCAGACGGCTTCCCGCGCCCCCCCTGCAATGACACGGAGACCCCCCTAGGGGGCGCGCCCCACAGTTTGGGAACCTCTGCCTTAAATGGAGTCAAATTTATTTCTCACCTTCTTGTACAGTTTGCGCTCTGGAAGTGATTCTGTGGAACGACCTTTCACTCATGGTTTCAGTTTTATAGTTGAGTTTTGCTAACTGTTGCATCAGGAAGACTTAACACGTTTACTGTAGTTCTGCAGTGATGCATTCTGGGTACTACAGAAAAAACTCTGTTACTCTAAAATATGAGGCTACTGGCTGCAGCAAACCCAACTTTTCTTAGCTCTTTTTTTTAATCCTGTCCGTCTTCTCTCTGTCTTTCAGAATGAAGATGCTGGGGGCCGGGAGTTAAAGCCCTCCACCAGAGGGAAGCTGGTTCACAGCTGGGGCTGGGCCCCTGCCTCAGGTGGGGGTGAAGAGCCCCCACGGCCCCCCACGGGTCTGGACCATGGGGGATGGCGGTGTTGGTGCAACTGGAGGAGATGGGGCCAATCAGTCCCATGTCCTGTTCGACAACTTTGTCCAGGCGACGACGTGTAAAGGCACCCTGAAGGCCTTCCAGGAGCTGTGTGAGCACCTGGAGGTGAAGCCCAGTGAGCACAGGATCTTCTATCACAAGCTCAAGTCCAAACTTAACTACTGGAAGGCGAAGGCGCTCTGGGTGAAGTTAGACAAGAGGGCCTGCCAGAAGGAGTACAAGAAGGGACGTGTCTGTGCCAACACAAAGGTGAGCTGAACCTCCGGAAACGTAATCGTTCCTGTAAAGCTGCAGCAGGACGTTTCAGAACATTAGTTTATGTTAAATGGGGATGTATTATGACAATTCAAACTTTGCACGTTTTTCTACTTGCATTTGGGTCTAAACTGTTTGTAAAAACAACTCAAGCTTTTAAGAAAAAAAAAAAACAAAAACCTACCTGGTTTTTGGCAATAGGTTAATGTTTGTTTGAAAAACCTCCCAAATGTTAAGTCCCGAGCTGAGCTCTGGTACACTACGTCATCTGGTTTTACTACTGTATCCTCTGTATAATGGCTGCTGGAAAAGACAAGTGTTGAGTTGTTTACTTACCAGCCAGAAACAACTTGCTGCATTCTTATTGGTTGTGCAGGAGGTTCCACTTCTACTTCTCAAAGATGTGCAGTTGTATATTTGTGCATCTGTTTGCACTCATTTTCCCGTGTGAGTGTAAACGTTGCGTTAGGGGGCGTGGCCAACAGCAGCTTATCTGAATTTAAAGTGACAAAGGCCCTAAAACAGCTGAAAATAGGCAGAACTGAGCAGCTAAAATCTAATTAAGAAAGCTTTTGTGAAAAAAGTATTGAACCTGTTTTGTGTAGCACATATCCTGTCCTAACCTGTTCAGGGAAGTGTGAAAGGTCACCTTTAATAAATCACCAGCAATAATACTGGAAAAGATGAAGATAATATTGCCTTACAGAAGTATTTATTTGATCTTTTTCTCTTTCCGTTGCATTAAAATCACAAACTTTGATCATTTAAGACATTTTTAGTCCCCCTGTGTACAACGTATTTCTAATGTTCAGTCTTCTGTCCCTCTGAATTAATACCTTCAGTTACAGAATGATGTGACTGAATACATGCAATACAGGCGATAGAAAATACCTTGTGCTGTGAACACGTCAAGATGCATCAACACAACTAATTTAATATGACACTTAAACAACAAGCATCTGATGGAGAATGGTGAGTTATTGAGGCTCCGAATAAAAAAGACACCTGGAGCAGTTAAAACAAGCCTCAGCGGTATGAGCGTGACAGTCAGACAGCTGAGCAAACAACCTGAAAAATAATACAACTTATCAGGCTAGTGGACCTTTTTCAGGGATGGACGTTGCTGGGTTCGGCGATAACTTTAGGTTTTATTTTTACATGTATATTAAAACTTTCACCATGTCATGACATTAAAAGATGAGACAGATATTGAAGCTTCGCTGCCTCCTCCATGTGGTCCAACTGTCATCTAAAACTCTGTTTGGTCAAAACAACCAATCAGAGCCGGGAGGCGGGTCTTAGCGCTGTCAAAGGACAAAAGGGTTTGCTCATTAAAAAAGCTAGCTATAACTTTGGATTGTGTATTTGAATGCAATCTACATTTGACTTTGAATGTTTCCTTTTTTAACTGACATTTGATATAGGCAGTGTTATGAAATGTATTTGACATTCTGTGTAATTTAAGTTCATGAGTTTTCAGTCTGCTAAATATCGTAACTGGTAGCAGGTTCCTCAGCTGTGGTTCTGATTGAACAGTTGCTGCATTTTTCCTGCAAGTTTTTTTTTTTTTTTTTTTTGAATGTTTTTGTCTAAATTTTATGGTTTTTTTGCCATTTCACTTAGCCAGCAGCATCTTTCACTAAATTGAAAAATGATCAGCCAATCCATGTAATCTGTATCACCATAAACCCTATTTATGTATGGAAGCAGGTGGATTTTGGGCATGCTGAAAGGCGGCGTGTTGCCCGTTAATCACAGCCGTGTCAGTAAATCTGCTGCCTGTCCTCAGTGTCTGATCATCGGTGCGGGGCCATGTGGCTTACGGACAGCCATCGAGCTGGCCTTCCTGGGGGCCAGAGTGGTGCTCCTGGAGAAGAGGGACGCCTTCTCCAGAAACAACGTGCTGCACCTTTGGCCCTTCACCATCCACGACCTCAGGGGCCTCGGGGCCAAGAAGTTCTATGGGAAGTTCTGCGCTGGTGCTATCGATCATATCAGTGAGTGCATTTGATACTGCAGCTCTGGTTTCCCTCAGAGCCATGGATGAAGACACCGGGTGCTTACTGGGATTAATCCACACTGTTTCTTCTCTCTGTGGGTTTTAGGTATTCGTCAGCTTCAGCTAATGCTGCTCAAAATGGCCCTCCTGCTGGGGATCGAGATCCATGTCAACGTAGAGTTCAAGGGACTCATCGAGCCGCCTGAAGACCAGGAGAGTGAGAGTAAGACTCGAACTGCTGCTTTGTATCGGTTTCATCAAGCAAATATCTCTGGGCTGCTGTAAGCCTGGCGCTGCGGATGCATTTCAATCTGATTACACATGCTGTTTGTTCTCAGGGATAGGCTGGAGGGCTGAGGTCCACCCCAGGACACACCCTGTCAGCGAGTTGGAGTTCGATGTCATCATTGGAGCAGATGGAAGGAGGAACACACTACCAGGCAAGTCTGCATGCACAGACTGGAGGAAAAGCATTAGTAATGCACTTTTTTCTTCCACTAAAGGGACCTATTATGCAAATTTCACATTTCCCACATTTTTGTACTTCCATTTGGGTTCATACTGCTTCTAAAAACAGCCCAAGCATTTAAAAAACACCCAGCTGTTTTGTGGCAAAAAGTAATTTTTTTGGTGTCTGGAAAATGAGCCATTTTAAAAACCTTCCTAATGTAACGTCACAAAGCAGCAGGCAGTGCTGGGACGGTGGAATGAACCCCAACAACCCAACAGTTTGACGTATCTGTTAGTAGCTTTAACCTTTAACTTGGATGACAGAAATGGTGACCAGCAGGAAGTCCAAGAAATCATTTAGAGGCTCTGCAGCAACTACTGACGTTATAATTCAAAATAGAGAATAGAGACACCTGAACAGACTGAAAATATGACCCAAACTGAATACAATGAGATCAATGCAGCACAAGAAGACTAACTTCAACCTTTTTGTACTTCTGGAGACTTAAAGTATACAAAAACATATCAAATGTGTTAAAATAAGTATATTTTTCCTGATATGCTCCCTTTAACAGCAAACAGAGCCGTTTGTTGTTCCCTCTCCGACTCGTCAGTGATTATGATGTCACTGGTTTGCAGCTGCAGATGGACAGCTGACCTCACTCTGCTCCTCGTGAGCGCTTGTGCACATCTACATGTTTGTTTGTGTTGAGCTGCTACATTAAACTTCACAACGTGTTTGTTGTCCTGGAACAAGAGAACAGGAACGGTTGAGCTGGCTGTTTGTTTCCTGTCTGAGCGCTGAGCCTTTACCGAGTTCTGACTCCATAAAAAGAACCCGTGTCCTCTGCTTGAGCTATCCACTTTCAGCAAAATACATGCATATGGCGTGAAAAGCTGGGAACTGTTTACATTGTCCAGAAACAGAACATCTGGTAACATTTAAGCGTTCTGAAAGCAGATATTGTTTGTGAGTTGCTCTAGCTGGTGGTATGTTTTCCTTCTGAAATGTAACCGTTCGGGTCTGTTAGCCGCGGCCACTGAACTGATCCACTCCTCTGTTTCTGCAGGATTTCGACGGAAGGAGTTCCGGGGGAAGCTCGCCATCGCCATCACCGCCAACTTCATCAACAGGAACACAACGGCGGAGGCGAAGGTGGAGGAGATCAGCGGCGTGGCCTTCATCTTCAATCAGAAGTTCTTTCAAGATCTCAGGGAGGCAACAGGTGACCGACGGGCAGCTGCTCAGTTTCTGCAGACATTTCACTTGAAACCGAAGTAACAAATATCAATAATTACTGAGACAATATATTGTCCAGCAAAATTTGTTACTGTGACAGTCGTATTGGTCACTCTGGATTGTATATAGGGTTCACAAATTAATTTGAGTAAAAATTTGCACTGTTAGATTATTATTGGAACTATTTCATTGCAAAGGCTAGAATAAAACTAATGTTTTCAATGATATTGAGGGTATAATAATTGAGATCAGGATGATATAGTTGTTAATTTTATAAATTACTGCTATATGGAAGCAGTGCATGCAAAAAAAAACAATAGATATAAATACAAATGTTATAATAGTTTGAATAATTCTGGGTTTTGTTTGAGTTGCCAGCCTTGCTGCAGTTTTATTGCTGACTAGACAATGTCCTCGGCGCTCTGAATCCCATAATTGCTGCTCCGGTCCTGAAATGACGACAGGATTGGCAGCCTTGGCAGCAGGGGGAAGAATTGTGTTCTGTTTCTGACAATCCATCTTTTTTCTCCTTCTCTTTTTAGGTATTGACCTGGAAAACATTGTGTATTACAAGGATGACACACATTACTTTGTGATGACTGCCAAAAAACAGAGCCTGCTGGAGAAAGGAGTCATTCTGCATGTGAGTGATCAAAGCGTTGGTGTCTCTTCCTGCTCCTCTTTACCCAGTATGAAAGCTGCGAACACGCAGAAGCAATCCCAGTCAGAAGAATGTCACTCCTGTGGCTCTCTTTCATTATTTTGTCTTTTTTTCTTCTTTGTGTGACTTGGCCAAACGTTGGTCTAATGGCCAAACCGAGCCAACAGCGTTCAGCAGCTCGCTGACTGCTGATGTCTTCACTGTAGACGGTGGCTTCCTTTCTCTGGGCACTTTCCTCAGGAAACAGGAAAGACCCTTTAAATGCCTGCCTTCATGTGAACACATAACCCTGCTGTGTGTTATGGAAGAGCTCCTTACAGTTGGTTCAGTTTTGGAAGACTGAGTCAGGATTTTTGGAGCTCTTTAAATTACCTGAGGTTGGATTCTCCACTGTTACCTGGAAAGTTTTGACACATTCAGAATATTTCATGTTTTTTCCCAAACTTTCATGCCCCTTTAATCTAATAGTCATAAAAGGAGTTAGCCTATCAGCAATACTATTAAAGCCTAAAATTGCTTCTTAATGCGTAATATAACCATGTTCTGCAAGTATATTTTCAAGTATTGCATTAGAAAAGGTTGATGGAAATGCCAAAAATTCAAAATGACTTCCTCAGTTTTGTAAAAAAGTTTTAAAGAAAGCTGGTGATTGTTTTTTTATTTTTCTAAAAAAACAAAAAAACAAAGACCTAAGGCTCTAAAGCAGCACGTTGGATGGATAAGTTCTGATGTAGTGAACCCTCCCTGCTGCTGGTAGGAACAAAATTTAGATCAATTTCAAAATCCCAAAATCCAGCTCACTCTCCACTTTTCTGAGGTGTGTAGATATTTTGCAGCCTCTACTTCCTGTTTATTGCAGCCCTGCATAGTCTCCACATCAGATGAAAATTACGCTTTTTGTAACTTGGTTAATTCGCTCCAAACTAAGAGGTGCAAACACGCCTAATTCACATTAGTTGCGATCTTTTAAATGTTTGCTCAAAATTCGCATGAGAGTCTGATGGAAACATGGCTGTAAAAGGCGTCAGAATCTGATTGCTGTTGTTAAGTCTCCCCGTTCTGTCTGTTGTTGTCCTGCAGGACTATGCAGACACTGAGCTGCTCCTGTCCAGGGCTAACGTAGACCAGGCTGCCTTGCTGTCCTATGCGCGTGAAGCTGCAGATTTCTCCACCAACCACCAGCTGCCCACCCTGGACTTCGCCATCAACCACTACGGCCAACCCGATGTCGCCATGTTCGACTTCACATGCATGTACGCCTCGGAGAACGCTGCCATGGTCCGCCAGCGCAACGGCCACAAGCTGCTGGTGGCACTAGTGGGCGACAGCCTTTTGGAGGTGAGGACCGATTGTTCTCTATCGGACCGGTAACGTTTGTAATTGTTCAATTACAGTTATAATCAAATATAACCACAAGAGCAACTGGTAGAGGAATTGTAAAATATCTTTTAGGAAAAGCTCCTTTGGTCAGTTTGCACATCAAACTCTTGGAATACATCACCATAAAATCTGAAAAATATCACATCAGTGAACTGTTTTAGAAATTCATGTACATAAATAAATAACAAATACAATTAATATCTTTGAATTACTTCAGTTTTGTAATTAATTCAAAATCAGCAGATCTTTGTATTTTTCATTTTACTGCATAACTCTAACTTTATTGCAAATTTTCTTCAAAAATAATCAAAAACATTAGGTTTGCTTACTCCCACCTGTAGGTGGCAGTATTTGATTCTTCTATGGCAAATTGCAAAAAGTCACATTTAGCATCATAAGTGCGAAATATTTCTGACAATCTGGTCGTTTTTAAAATCTTTTTTCTTAGAATCTCTTTTCATAGATTTGAAAGATGTTTGATGAGGACAAAATATCACAGAACATTTCTTGCCAAACTTTCTAAAGTATAACCCCAAAAATCAGTGATTTGATTGCAAGAAAACATAAAAATCAATTGTGAAATCCTGTAGGACAGTTTTAGTTTCCTCTGCTGCAGTGTGACCATATTAGGTAAATGAATGTGCTTTTCTCTGCAGCCGTTCTGGCCCATGGGCACCGGCATTGCTCGCGGTTTCCTGGCAGCCATGGACTCCGGCTGGATGGTGAAGAGCTGGGCGCAGGGAAAAACTCCTCTGGAGGTTCTGGCTGAGAGGTGCGGATGTGGAAACACTCGTACACATGTGCCAAGATTCACATTGTTCCTGCGTTCAGATTTACACACAGATCCACATTCCTAATCCACCTCTTCAGATACTCGCTTTTATCTCCAAGTGCTTTACTAGGAACTGTACCCGCTTGCGATTTAAAGCTTCAGTCCCACCTCTCTGAGTACTAATGGGATAAGAAGCTCTCATATGGCCTGAATGTGGCTGAATGTGCAGCATGTCTCTTTGCTTTGCTTTAATGGTTTGTTAATGGACTGAGATGAGCCGGTCCAGTACAGGGAAGGAAAGCTCACTGTGTTGTTCTGTTTTTTAGGGAGAGCATATACCGGCTTCTGCCTCAGACAACACCGGAAAATGTCAGTAAGAACTTCAGTCAGTACAGCGTGGATCCGACCACACGCTACCCCAACATCAGCCTTAACTTCCTCAGGCCCAGTCAGGTGAGTCTGACTGCTCACAAACCACAATCTTGTGGTTGTCATGTGACAAAATGAGGAAAGCTTCACTTCATTTTGTAATGACATCAGTCTGCAGTCTGGCATGCAGTAACAATGTTTATGCTGCAGGTGCGACACCTCTTTGACACGGGAGAAGGAAGGGAAATCCGAATTGAAATTGAGAATGTGATCAACTCGTCAACGCCGAAGCTAGCCCGGAATGGTCTGTATTATTTATCTTTCTGTTTTCCTTCCTGGGGTTATGTTAATTAGCTGAGCATTAGCAGTGCATCTACAATGTGTTGAAGAGAGACATCACTTTGTTTAAATGAAATAATGAATGACTGTATTTTCACTCCAGACAATTACCTGCTTGACAAACAGTTTCAAGGTAACACGAAGTCTGAATGCATGGTGTTCCTCAAGTTTTCTAATAGTTTTAACAGTTTTAAACCCTCCCTGCTTTGTATTCATAAAGAAAGAAATGTGAAGGTAATGGTGGAATGTGAGAACTTTGTGGACGAGTTGCACACGTTTCCTTTCGTGACTCACTAACCCGGCCGGATATGCTGCCGTCTTCCTGGATTTTTTCAGCAGCTTGTTTTAAAGATTCCCTCTTAAATCTGCAACCTCTAACTTCTTGTTTGCATCCATTTCCCCATAAATCAGTAAAATTGAGTGTTTTGAGATTGATACTAACGCTGCCTTTAGGATCATGGATGACAATAGTCGTATGACTTTTTGCCCAGTAACAGCGATGTTATGCTGATTGCATTTCTTTCCATTTTTAATCCTTCAGATCCACTCAACCTGCTACTTTAACTCCAACATTTTATTTAGTTATTTTTTGGTCTTTTCTTCCCAGAATCCATTGCTCGATCCAGTAAGCTGCTGAACTGGTGCCAGAGGCAGACGGAAGGATACAGGAACGTCAGCGTGACGGACCTCACCATGTCGTGGAAGAGCGGCTTGGCGCTGTGCGCCCTCATCCACCGATACAGACCCGATCTCATGTGAGTAGCAGGAGTCAGAACCTGCAGAGTGACAAAGAAAGATGGCAGATTTGCTTTTCTTCTGATGTTCTGTTACAAACTTACTAGTTAATAAGATCGCTGAGGAGTGAATAAATAATGCTACATGACCAATGCATTATTATTTGGTGTCACTGATCTGTCCAATACAGCAAAATATGTTCCCAATTATTCTTGAGTACAGTGAAATGCATATTTGAAAAACGTCCAATTTTTAAAGGGACAGCATTATGTGAAATTGACTTTTTTGAGTTTTGCATCATATTATAATGTTATTCTGTCATCAAAGCATACCTGTAGTGTTGCTTTGATTCCTTCATGCGTATTTAAGAAATCCTTTAATCTCCGTGACAACCATGCAGCTGGGCAACCCGCCTGGTTGGACCTAGCCCCGCCTTCAAGGCGCAGCTCTTCCTCAGAGCTGCAGCCTCCGCCTCACAGAGCACCCCTCGGCTCCTTCAGACTAGCCAGCAGCAATTAGCAAACATCTGGTGGAACTGCACATCTCCTGAGCTCATTATAGGAGCTACTTGTCAGAGCAACACTGGTAAAAACTTCGCTAAAGGGTTAATAGAGGAGTGACGTCATGGTGACTTCCTGAAGGCGGAGTTTCAGAAAGAGCAAGAGTTTTTAAAGAAACAGAGACCCAATTTCAAGGCATTAAATTACAAAGTAAAATTTCTTTTAAGTCATATTTTATATACAATTAAGTTTTTAATAACTGAAGTTAATATAGTTGTGTGATTATTCTATAAAATGGCACTGTGTGCCCCTTTAACATAAAGGCTAATAAGCTGCTATTTTCCGTAGCTAATTTGAGGCGTAGTCTTATGCCTTCCTGCTGCTCTGTTCTCTGCAGTATGTTAAGTAGTTTGGCTTTCTGCTCTGATGGAGCCTGCAGTCAGCTGCTTAACACTCACTCTGTTTGTTCTTCTATTCCTGGTTGCAAACACTGCCAAGTATGTCCCCCAGTGGTTAGCCTGGTGCTCAGCCTGCAGTGATGGTGTTCGTAAACAGTTTTTTATCACCCAGCAGGGCTTTTGGTTTTAAACTGATGGTTAACGAAGTCCCGCCGGGTTTGCTACTGGAGCCCTCCTCAAACCAAACCTTCCTCTGCAGCCCATAGATGCATAAACACTCTGCTCACCATCACACACACCATAAACAGCGCAGTTTCCATCCGCTGCGTCTAATGGGGTTTATTACCCTCTGGAGGTTATGCTGCAATTAACATTAGAAGCTATTAGTGGCTGTGTCCTACCTGACCTTTGCAGAGTAATGCTCGGCTGCGTCTGATTGGCCGGATGATGGGAGGAACAGAGTAATGAACGGAGGTTCAACAGAACCGCGTTCATGCGTTCTCATGTACAAGATGGATGTAAAGAGGGTTCAGAGGGAGGTCTCACTCTGTCCCTGATGTGATGTTCGGATGCTTATGGTTTTAAATGGACTTCATGTTTCAGCTGAGATGTATCGATGATGCATGTTAAGAGTATTTTAGGCTGAAGTATGATGACATTTACAGTAAAGCTTTTCCACAAAGTATACAGCAGTTAGCAGTGCAGAAATGCTGCGTCGTCAGTGGTTGTATTAGTCCAGACTCCCTGGCACCTCGTCCACATGAGAAGTTAGGGGGTCTGCTTGGTTGGAGAAGCCAAACTTTGGTTTCAAATCTGGTTGCAAATCATGAGATCATCTGGTAAAAACATTGAGAACTGCAGGATCCTTCGGTTCTCTGGAAGTTTGAACTGCTTGTTTTGTGTTTACGGCCCACATCATTTACTGTTTTGCCTCAACGTTCCAGTCACAGGAACAAAGAAATTCAGTTTTTTTTTTTTTCTCATTTATTGAAGCGGTGAGGTGAAACGGCTTAAAAACAGGACGATGTGGGTTTGAAAACAAAAGGAATCGGTTCCAAAGAACAGAAGAGTCCAGCTGAGCAACTTCACATCTGCCTTTTGGATCATATCACTGAAACTGGGATTAAATTTCCTTCATAATTTGGATTTTACTGAGATATTTTTGTCACCTAAATTCATTTGTTATTCTTAATTTTTATTTTTAAATGTGATATGCTGCTTTAGAGTTGCTATAACTACAGTAATAATCCGGCAGCATCAATGTTCTTAGTCAATAGGAGTTTTTTTCAGTTGATCTTTTTGATTTCTTTGATTTTCTTTCTGATTCAGTTGTTGGAACTACAACCCTAAATAGGAACATGGTAATGAAAACTAACATTTTAATATTTATGACATTCAATAAAAACCAAACTTAGCCAATTGATTTTTCGGAGAAAATAAATGAATCACGAACATTAATCATTAAAACATCTCAGCTTCTTACTGAAGATGTTTTAGCCAAACACTAGCAACAGAAAACATATTTTTATTGGTTTTTATCTTTATAAATGATTAAAATCAGGTTGGTTTTAGCTGTTTATGCACCATTCAGTGTTCACTGTACCTCCCTGTTCCGGGTTTTGTTTTCCTGCTCAGAGACTTTGACTGTCTGGATGAGGAGAACCATGAGAGGAACAATCAGCTGGCGTTCGACGTGGCAGAGAAGGAGTTTGGCATTTCGCCATGCATGACCGGCAAGGAGATGTCCTCAGTGGTGGAGCCAGACAAGCTCTCCATGGTCATGTACCTCAGCCAGTTTTATGAGATGTTTAGGGACACAGTGCCACCTGGAGGTGAGCGGCAGGAAAACACAGTCGCCCTTGTATTTGTGACTCATGTTGTTTGGTTGGTTTGTTTCCCGGGTTCGTTCTGTTGATAAAATCCTTGATACTTTCAACCAGGTGCTCACTAAGTGCTTGATATTCAAACTGCACAGTTTTGTATTAAACAAATATTACTGACACCTAATAAAAAGACGTGGACATCTCTTTCTCACCGTCTGAAGCTGAATTGAACTAAACGTTTCTGTTAGTTAAAATTACTAAAATTATTCATATTTTCTAAATGCCAGTTCTGAACTTGGTGAGAACATTTTTAAAGATGTTTTTGAAAATTTCTTTGTATTTCTTTTGCTTACGCAGGAAGCTCATTTACCTTAAAACATTTTGTTTGGATTGTTTCAAAGTAATGAATATTTATTATTCCTAATGTTCATCTTATATTTGATACATCAAGCAGCATTAAAGTATAATGAAATTTGGTTATTTTTAGTTAAATTGGTGATTTGTTCTCAGATTAATTGGGTGTACGGAGTGAGACGTTTCAAAGCATAACAATTTATTATATTTTATTTTCTTGTTTCTGCTGTAGAATACTATCACAAGACATCATTAATAACAGTGATAAACATCAAATAATTGTGAATTAAAATGATCTTTGTTTTGTTCACTTCTATTGTTTTAATCTCCAAAGTGTACTGGTGGATAAGTTTCTATATCTGTCTTAAAATGTGTGAAAATTGCTTGAGTTTTTCTGTGGGAAAAATGTTCTGCTCCGTTTCTGATGTGATCTGCTTTTATGCCTTTGAATCTGTTCAGATAACCAGAACTTGAGTCCAGAGGAGAAAGCTGCGCTGATTTCCAGCACAAAGTCTCCCATTTCCTTCCTCAGCAAGCTGGGTCAGAGCATCGCTATTTCCAGGAAGAGAAACCCCAAGGTAAAACACACACACACACAAAACACCTAAACTACAAAACCTTCAGCTCCTATTTTCAACTCTTCATCTTTAAGCTCATGCTTCAGGTCAAAATAACACCTCGCATTTTGTAAACAGGATAAAAAGGAAAAGGATGTGGACGGTTTGGGCAAAAGGAGGAAAACCAGTCAGTCTGAAGAAGTGAGTCTGACAGAGAAACTTGTGATTCTTAGTTCAGAAGACCATCCATCTGGAATGAACTAATTATTCTCACTTGACCAAATCTGGATTATTTTGTTTCTCCAAAGGAGGATGTTTCCAGGTCCTGTCGGGAAGAACGGCCGTCTGTCCCTGCTGTCCTGTCGGAGAGAAAAATGGACTGTGCTGCTGCAGGAAACCACAACAAAGTGAAGGTGATGGCCACTCAGCTGCTGGCCAAGTTCGAAGAGAACGCCCCGGCTCAGCCTGCAGGCCTCAAGCGACAGGTACGCCGGAAACATGCAGGACGTGTTTGATGCTCCTGCAGCTGCAGGCGGGGCATGTTCACATCTGGTTTGAGGTGACAGAATCTTCTGTTTGACCCGGCCGAGCTGTAGGCCGCGGTATTAATGAGCTGAAGTCCAGAACGCTACCGGTCAAGCAGATGATTGTTTCCGAGTCATGTGGGCGACCTTGCTGTGCTGACTGGACCCGAATGATTCACAGTTCTTTGGTTTGCTGGCTGCTGATGATGTGTAATGTGAGGAGCAGTGGGATGGCTAAGTTTCTGAAAAGGAGACGTGTCCTGGGTTTCCTACGGAAACATGGAGTGGATCAAACTGGGAAAAACTGCATAAGAAATCCAGATGTGTGAAACTGCTTCTGCTTGGTCTCCTTTGCACATCCCAACCTAATGTGAAAACGGCAGACTGTCTTTACCACAACCCCGTTAAAGCATCCAGATGGGTGTAAATAGGAAGAACAGAAGCTAGGAGATGTTCCTAAATGAGGCTCTTTAAGCAAAACACTCGACAAATAGTCAATATTTTATATCAAAATTATAAAAGTGGTTTGACTCGTTTAACATTTTTAACCAAAATAATTGCAGCATATAATTAATTAGTCACATTTTCATTGAACACCATACTCTGATATTAAACCAACATTCTCAATTCAAAAACCCTTTTTAGTGCTGAATTGTTGGATAGGAACGATGAATATATATAGTTTTTAATCTATTCATCAGATTATTCAACCATCAGATGAGAGCAGCTTGTTTTTCTGTTCATTCAGCTTTCCAGTGTTTCAGTGGTCATTCATGGATCTTCTTTAGAAATCTGGACGCTGATGTAACCGGATCCTTTTCTGCGTTGTGCTGGTTATTGAGTGGACAGGCCGTGACACTGACATTAGCGTTAGCTGCTACATCTTTAGCTCTGAGATGTTATTTTAGGCTTTCACAGCTTTGCCGACAGGCTAACTCGTTTTAGCGTAACTTTAACACAGTAATAGTCTTTTCCAGTATCTCATCAGATCAGTTGATGAAGCAGAATTTAACTGTGTTAAAATCCCGGCAGTATTATTGTAAGTGCATGTAAAACCTGGCTGAGGTTGATAATTTAATCCCACATTATGGGATTAATCCCACATTATGGGATTAAATTAAACCATGCAATCTCCGTGCTTTACAGCTTATTACTGCTGAATCCGAACTCTGTGGAAACGGTGTTTCTTTTACCTTATCTTAAAAAAACGAGGCTCTTTTAGGTTGGTTTTAAGGAAAGGTTGGGTTGGTTTTAAGGAAAAGGTCTTTCTTCCTGTTGAGAATGAATTGAAGTAACGAGTTAAAATTTTTGCCAAATAAAAAAACCCAAAAAACTTTTTGGTAATTTACAAGTGGACAAAACAAACAAAACAGATTTCCTATGTTTTCCTCTGTTTATTTAGATTAGTCTCCTCCATGACATTCCTCCATATCAAAGCTTCTTCTGCTCCCTGATATGTTGACACCATCATCATAAACTCTTTATTTTCTCCTCCACTCGCCTGTGACTCTTTCTTTTGTCTGTTTTCTCCCTGGCCTCTCCTCACCTCCTCTCTGGACCGTTCCATGACGCCTTGCATGATTGTTCTGTCTCTCATTCTGGCCACTGCCATGTTTGCCTGACCATTAAAGGGGGACTCTCTGCCCAACCTGGACCACTTTTTGCCCCCTTCCCCTCCACCGAACCCTGTGAACGAGCCAGTGCGCCTGGCTCCTGTCCCTGCATGGAGAAAGGTAGATGCAGATCTGATTAACCAGCAGTGAGGAAGCTGTGCTGCGTTGTGTGTGTGTTGAGCGAACGTTGTGTCTGTTGTGCCATCTCCTCCGTGCTTCTTCTGCTCTGGTTCAGAGACGCACCCAGCAGCAGGAGAAGCTGAGCATTCGCTACAAAGAAATGGTCAAATGTCAGACGCTGCCCAGCAGAGGGGATCAGGTATGGTTAGTTAGCGCTGTAGTTCTCCAGCCCTTAGAAACTCTTCACATCCTTAGATGATCCATCATAGATCACAGCTTTTGTAGAGAAGATGTAGAACGTGCACCTTTAGTGTACAATGATAAATAATTCTGCAGTTGCATAAAAAAATACTGTTTTGTGATCGATAACAAGTGATGCTCCAATCTGCCGATACCGATTTTAGCCAATTACGATTCCCAGTATCGACTCTTAATAATAATACTGAGGCGCCAAGACGAATTGGAAGTGAAGGACGGATTGTTTTCTCCGGATGTTTCTCCCAGGATAGCCTTGGCTTCTGCTTCTACTAACGATTAGATGCGTACCTTTGCCCTAATATTTGATTTCATCTTGCTGATCTTACTTATGTATGAAATATGTGAAGGTTAATATTCTTACTCTGTAGAAAAGTGTTTGCTGCAAAGCCACAAATACTCAGAGATCCTCCAGCCCTTTGGCTGCCAGAGTGACGGCTGCTCTCCATGGCCGCCGTATCTTTCATGGAAGACGCTCATTGATTGTTTTGAAGTCATCATGACAAGTCGCTTTGGAGTCAGAAACCATTCAGACAATGTCTGATTGCAGTCGCATTTAATTAGTGTGAAATGCAGCCTGTTTTCAGATGGATTCGTAGGGTGCATTCACACTGAACTCTTGTTAGTTTGACTGGGAAGTCTGGTTTGACTGGGGAGGCGTGAATGCATAATCAACTCTGATGCAGAACAAAAAAATTAAGTTTGTTCTGCCTACAAACCTCCGTCTCAGTTCGGTTGAGGTGAATTCGTCCGTGGTTTGAATCTAAGCAGATTGGGGACCGCTCCAAAAACAGGAAGAGGACCACACTGCAGGGCATTCTGGGTAAATGCAACCAAAACAAACGTGCATGACTAGCACTAGCAGGAGAAAAAAAAAATCCTACAAGCGTTTCCTTCAGTGGTTTTTGGTGCAGCGCCCCCACAGATGAAGAGGGGAACAGGTTTTTCAAAGGGTTTGGTTGGTGTCACAAAGAGAACTGCAGCAGCTGAAAATGTAACAAATGTTTCAACTTTGATCTCCAATCGAACCAAGTCCCTGTGTGTGTGTGTGTGTGTGTGTGTGTGTGTGCGTGTGTGTGTGTGTGTGTGTGTGTGTGTGTGTGTGTGTGTGTGGGTGTTTTTTTTTGGTGTTAATTAGTCTTTGTTGTAATTGTTGCAGACCAACTAAAAGCTCACCACAGTTGTTTTCCTATCCAACTTGTCGATTCTCCCCACGTCTGGTCTAGAAGCTCTGCTGCATTTAACGCTATAATAAACTTTTGGTTTATTATGACTTGTTTTCTTCAGTTATATTTACTTTTGCACATCTTATCGTTTTATTCTTCCTCTCCTGAATTTGCTGTTCCTGTCCCTCACTTTTCAAGGCCAGAAGTGCTGCAGAACAAACGTCCAGCTCGGGCTCTCGGAGCTGCCCAAAGAAAACCATTCTGCTCCCTTCCTCCTCCTCCACTTCCTCGCTCTCTCTTCACTCAGAGGTGACATAAAGTCTGCTGTTTGTTTCTGTTTGTCTGCCTCCCATAGCTATAAATCCACAGCAGACCTTCCTCTAGCCTCCCTTTACTCCAGCTGCTCTCCGTGTTTTCCCATCAGTGTCACGTTAACTTTGTGGAGAGATCAGGTTGTCTGTAAAAGATGGGAAATTGCTTTTAGAAACCCTTCTCTACTCGTTTCTGTTTTCAAGAATTTACCCCCAGAGCAAGAGGAGCTTGAATACTATGAAAGGCCTCTGATACACAGGGTACAGTACTGCATCTCTGTATGTTCATAAAACCTGTTAGAGCCAACCATGACGTCTCACCAGAGCTCCTTTAACAGGAAGGGAAGCTGTCACTCACAGTTGACCTCGCTCCCATTCACATCCCTGGTATTCAGGAGCGGGCCGACCGCCTCATCTCCAGGTTTAAGGGCAAAGCTGATAAACCACCAAAGGTGCTCAGCATGCATGGACATTCTTCTACCTTTGGGCTCATTTGTTGCACAGATCAAAACGTTTCTGCTGAGTCTGCACATCTAATTTCCCCTTTCAACCTTCCTCTGCCTCCCGGAAGCCTAAGAAAAAGCCGTCCCGTTTCTTTTTAGAGCAGTGGTACTCGAGCCGAGGCCCGAGTCCGAGCCCAGCCTCACCTCTGTCCTCCCCTGATGCTTCCAGAAAGGTCAGACTGAGACTCACCCTCTGCAGTGCCAAAAAATAACAGTTTTCCTTGAAAATAAAACCGTAATTGAAGTTTCACCTTAATTTTTCACATTCTGAGTTTATTTAAAGTGAAGTCTGTAGTTTTGTGACAGATGCTTGTGCCACATTTGCCTACGAAGTGCAGTGAATCCTTTCGCATCATGTACACACCCTGCTTTAAATTACTGCATGAATGACAGGCTCAGTTTGCGCCACAAGCTCGGCTAATTGATCCAGAAGTTTGAATCTTGGTGCTTCATTCCTGCAGTTCCACTTGGTAACTAAATCAACTGCTTTTCTGCAGGAGCCAGTGAGGCCTCTGGACTCTGAACAGATGCCCATATATGTGCTTAGTATTCAGGAAAGAGCTGAACAACTTGAATTTCAGTTGGAAGGCAAGCGAGTCGGGCCGCAGGTGAATCCCCCATTTAACACAGACAGCTGAAAACTGTAAACGACCCCTTGTTCTCCGGTATGCTAAGCATGTAATCAAGTGACTATAGGAGAGCATCAGAATACAAGTTACACTATGGCGAGCATTAACTTTGCAGAAATGCAATTCTTAAAGGGCATAACTCATCATATTTTAAAGGGAGAAAACCTTAAAATGTTCGAGGTAATCTCTCAGGAAGCATTTCCTTATATGGATAATGATGTGCATTAAAGAGTTTCTCTGTCTGCCTGGAGACGACTCTGATTCATTTCTTAATCATAAGAGAAACATTTCTGACAGGAAAATGTGGAAAGAATGTCTGATGCTTATTGATGACAGAAAAAGGACGTAGTGAGCATCTTTGCAAAGATCATCTATTCAGGAAATTCATAGAACTTTGTAAAAGGAAACTAGGTCAAGAGAGGCAAAAAACCCCTTTTTGGAACTATTTAGCAGTTTAGATTGTAAGTTAAATCCATTTTCTTTCATGTAAATTAAACCCATAAAAACTTTCCTCTCTCCCTCTTGAGCCAAAGAAAAAACCCTCTCGTTTTTTTATGGAGCGATGGCACCTGGCCCGCGCCCAGAGCCCCCCCGACAGCCGCCCGTCCGCCTGCTCCAGACAGGTAGTCGTTTCGCACCTGGAGGGCACGGATTGCTGACGCTGACACACTGCACCTGCATTTGGTGTTCCAGCAAGATGCATCACCACAGTTAGCTTCAAAATGGCTTAACACGACTAAACTCACTGCAGATTTTCATCCTGCTGAGAAATGAAAACACAAACTGAGCTGCAACCTGCTGCACAGTGATTGTTGTTGCTGTGATTAATAATTGTGTTGTGTTTTTCTGTAACTGTGGCTCTGAACTCTAAATATTATCACAGAAAGGCTTTCCATTCATCTGTTCTGGCACTTCTCATTCTGCAGTCGCAATAAATTCTGATGCTATAGTGGATAAAAATTGTATCTGAGAGGTTAAATAGGATAAAATCTGAAGATTATTGTTTCAAATCCAGATGAACTACCAGCTTTAGTTGAGAGCAGGAAACCAGCTTCCATTTTGCTTTTGGTTTTCAGTCCTTGTTTGTTAAAGTCATTAAATGTGTTTGTGTGTGTTTTTTTTTAGCATTTCTCACTTTGTAAAGCCAGTTTTTTCCAAGCTAGGCCTCCATAAGGTTGCTGTTTTTGGATAAGACTATGGATTGAGTTTATGTTAGGTTAATGGTTAGTTATATATGTACAAGTAATGGTTCGGTTTAGGCTAAAGGTCATGGTTAGGGTGCAGAGATGAATAGAAGTCAATCCAAAGTCCTTGTGAAGGTAGAAACACATAACTTGTGTGTTTCATCATGTCTGTGTGTGTGAGAGTGAAAAATGCTGCTTGAAGTGACTGTGGAAGAATAATCCTTACGCATTTCAGAGGCACCGATTAGATTCCTGTTTAGAAACTTTATTTTTTCATCTGTGAAGCTCAAGCTGAGACAAAGTGATAAACTTCAAGTGTTTATTTCTGTTGATTTGGCTGAATATGACTTGCAGCCAAAATTCAGTTTCTCTGAAATGTATAATATTATTTAAGACTTAAAAAAAAAAAAAAAAGAATGTTTAGTGGAAGGAAAAATGTTGTAGCATTACGGTGCTGACGGGCCAAAACTCCTCCCATTTTGGGGGAACATCGGGGGGCTCGTGATGATTTGATAATCCATGTCGTCTTCTGGTCCTCCAGGATGTTTCTGGTCCAAAATAAGTTCAACCGTCTACCAGGATGTGTCACAGAACGTCATGTTTCTATCTGCTGGCAAGTTTCATGGCAGTGCTAAACTAAGTTCCAGTAGGACTTGGTACTGACCCACACTGTTAAAAGTACCGATACCTGGTAACCATGGCAACACCAGCAAAACAACCTGACCTGATCCCTACAAAGAATCTATGGGCTGACAAGACATCAGAACCAAAACGCTACAGCTTCCTGAGCAGCTCAGCAGGCCGGCCCACATGCTGCGCTGCATAGATCCAAAAGGAGCCCAGACCGAGTCCTGAAGGCAGATACTGTCTGCAGATGATCCATTTTGCTTGTGCACTTTTTTCTGCCACATTTTCCTTCCACTCAACTTTCCTTTAATGTGGATACAGTGTCTGTGAACAGACAGCTTCCCCAGCAATGACTTCCTGTTGGTTATACCATAACATTTCACATTAGTAATCCTTACTTTAAGTCTTTTTCATGTACATTTTTAGTTTTCTGAGAAGCTGAATTTGCTGATTTCTTTGCCATGATGATTAAAACTGACAGAAATACAAGCTGGTGATTTATCACTTTGTGTGAAGGAGTTCAGTGGGGTTTGGGTTTGTTGTCATGAGCTGAGTTTTGTTTGCAGCTTGTTCAGTGAGGCGGCTGTAGCTCTTCTTAACGCTTGGTCAGTCAAGCATGGAAACAGCTCTGTCGTGTGAAACTGCCTTTTCTCCCTCTGCTCTTACACACACCTTTTCCCTTTTGTTCTCCGTGTCCCATTCCTGTCCTTCAGTCATTTCTAATGTTTCTTCACTGTCTCTCATGCTGCTGCTAGCACTTGGTGAGGATGTACACAGGGGGAGTTAGCAGCCTGGCTGAGCAGCTAGCCGGCCAGCTTCAGTCTCAGGAAGAGTCCAAACCCACACATGAACCAGAAAGGAGGGATTTGGTAAGCATGTTGTCTGTAGGGTAGAAAGCACCGAAGCAATCCTTTGTGCTTAATCAGCTGACTCTGATTATTACAGATCATCCACCCACAGTTTGATTGTTCTTCTTTATTATTTAGAAAGGCATAAATACTCAAAAGCATTGAACCCCATACGTTTTGTAATCTGAGCTGTTTTGGCAAAAAGCACATATGGAAGATCTGGAACAGACAATTTATGGCTAAACAGTGACAAGAATCAATAAAAATTAATGAATTGTGTCAGGATGTCAAAGCTTTTGTCTTTATGTTGTGTCGTTTAGGAAATAAAACGTTTGAAAAACATGTCAGAGCAGATTTTTTTTTTTTTTTTTTTCAAATGTCTTTCACAATTTAGTATCTGATTCCCAATTCAGTGACTCCTTATTACTTTGGGATGATCTGCCAGAAAACTGCAAGGCCCTCATCAATGAGTTCTACATCTCCTGAATCCTGACAGATTCCTGTGTTTCCATGTGTGATCTGAGTAGAAAGAATGAAAACTGAGGGAGTAAGCATGAGTTGTTCAGACGAGCAACACTTTTAAAAAGTTGGAGAGACACACTGTAGCATCAGAAGAAATCTATCATTGAAATCCGTTATGAAAATGAAATATGAGCATAAAGCGACCAAAAACTTGAAGAGGGACTTTATGAAAATGGTAAAAGATATGAACAAGCAGAGATACAGAAATAGTTGAAGGATATTACTTCATTTTAAAGTTTTAATGGTGTCTCTAGGTGAAAGTATATGGAAGTATTTACTTTTGATTGTTGCATTTCATTTAGAAAGGACATAAATGCTCAAAGATTGTATAAAAAGGGTTGAGCTCATAATAACCTGGCTTTCCCTTTTGTTCTGCGTTTGCATCTAAACGCTGACTCGACTGTTTTCCTCGCAGGGTTCTCTCAGGAAAGAGTTCCCCGTCAACATCGGCGGCAGCGACGTCTGCTTCTTCTGCCGGAAGCGAGTCTACGTCATGGAGAGGCTGAGCGCGGAGGGGAAGTTCTTCCACCGCAGCTGCTTCAAATGCGACTACTGCGGGACAACGCTGCGACTTTCCTCCTACGCATTTGATGTGGAGGACGGTGAGGCCGACACTGGAGGAGCATCATGCTGTTATTTTACATGCACACACACAAGGCTCCTCGGCTTGAGTGTTACTGAACCAGTTTGAAACATTTCAGCTGCTGGGTGAAATAAAATGAACCTTTTTTTTCCTGACAACAAAATTACCCCAACAATCAGAATGATAACAGGAGATAAACTGTAACTCTGCTGCCCTCTAGTGTCAGGTTGAACCACGTGTGTTTGTGAACAAACTCCTTTTTAAATCACAGATTTTTTTTAAGTTAACAATTTAACTGGTGAATAGTTTCAAAACTTTTTTTTTTTTTCATTTAATGTATCCTGTTTGACTTTTCCAAAAAATAACTGATAATGTAGTGTTGCATAAAATGTTTATTTTCTTATTTAAGAAAGTAATGTAAGTACTGTATTTTTTAACGTATTTCTAATATTTCATAAAATAAGCTTAAGTGGTAAAATGAAAAACCGCAGAATGTGCCAATTTTTTTTAATGCAAATAATAAATGAAATAATTGATTTCTTAAATAATCACCAGCTGTAGCTCTAGTTTAAATTACACCAAAGTTTTTAGTTTTATGTCCTTTTTTCTGTTTGTTTTTCCGTCTAATAGTTATTTTTCAGTTGAATTGTTCAATGAACTCTGGAATTATAGCAAGTGTGCTGACACTTTTTCTTTAATCTAACTTTTAACAATGATAAATGAGGACATTTGTAGTTTGTCAGGGTTTGCAGAGTGTGCTCTCGCCCTGAACCTGCCGGCCCTGTGACCGCAGACCTTCTCGCTCTAAGGTTCCCATTGTTCAGACGGACAGGCAGCAGATTGTTGGGTGAGACAGAGTAGCTGTTTCTCACTGTTTTCTGTGGGATTTCTGCCCACTGAGGGTCTGAGCTGAAACACAAAGACGCTTCTCTTTTATTTTAATTTGCACACACACTCCACCTTCTGGATGATTCTGTTTCATTTGATTATATTTTCTGTTCTGTTTTTCTTTTTTTCTTCCAGGGAAATTTTACTGCAAGCCTCACTACTGTTACCGGCTGTCTGGTTACGCCCAGAGGAAGAGGCCGGCTCCTTCTCCTTCTCCTGCTCCAGTCTCAGCTAAGGTGCCTCTATTTATTTATTTATTTTTTTTACGCAGATTAATGCGTCTTCCTTACAAAATCAGACAGTTGTTGCAATGTGGTTTGAGCAATCGCACGTTTTCTGGATCGCAGGAAAACCAGACGCCCCTAACTCCGATTCAGACCGTGGACGGCCCCAGCAGGGCGGCGGCGGCGGCTCCCTCGGCCGAGATCCCGCCCTCAGGTACCAGATTTTCCTCTGTAGATGTGGTGGCTGTGTCCCGCCGTCTGGCCGTGGGGGTGGGAGTCCCTCTGCGCGCCCTCCGCCGCTCCCTGTCCTGGACTTGTCACCAGGTGGCGCTCAACCCCTTAGATTCTCCCTTCCTTTGCACCTACTGCATCTACCTCTTCTGCTGTTTCACTGTCAACGTCCTTCTGAACCTCCTCTAGCATGAAACCTCCTTTTGATTTGATCTCACTCTGTTTTAGTCTCTGCTCACTAATTTAAGGGAGATTTCGTAGATTTAAGGATTACTAACAGAACTGGATGTGTTCATGTTGGTCTTTTTTTTCTGGTTAATTTATTCCTGAAGACGCATCACCCATGTCTCCTTTTGCCAATTTAGGATTTGTAATTGGCAGAGGAAGTTAGGTAGAGGTCTTGCAGTAAAATCGTAGAGTTGAATGGCGCATCATGAATCTTTTTCTCTTGGCTTAGAAATTCAGATGAGCTGATCAGGATTCCTGCTGATCAGCTCTTCAACTATCAGCTGCTTGTGGTTTCCTGCCTGTTTGTATGAAGATCCAAGCCAAGAGTCCCTGTTTGGTGTTTGTAACCTTTTACTAGCCTGTGACTGCTCTTTTTTTAGCTCTACCTCCTCCTTGTGTGATGTGTTTCCTTTCATGCCTGCTGTGTGATCTTCTCTTTTCTCTGTAAGCTGTTCTGCACCTAAACTTTACCCACCGTGCTGTAATGAAGTGCCTGTATCAGTGCTTTGTGAGCTTTACCTTTCCCCCCTCCTACTGGAGCATCTTAAAACTGGAGGCTTTATTAGTGCTGGAAGCTGTGCCCTCTGATTGGCTGATTTTTATCCCTCTGTTCTCGTTTCAAAGCTTTGTTTTTTCTCAGTGCAGCACAACATTTCTGCATGTTAAATAGGACTAGATGCAGCTAAATAATGGACACTTTGCTGAAAATATACAGAATATAAACAAAAATATCGTTCAGGTTTGTGCAAACTTTGTGCTATGCGTTTTATCATAATTAAAGGATTAATTTAAATGTTTGATTATTTACTTGCTTCTTAAAGTTTAAACTATTGAAAGTTATCAAGCATTGTTTATATATATAAATGGATAAAAACTGATTTTTTTTTACATTTTAGGTACATTTAGATAACGTAAAGTGCTTGTAAATAAAATAACAATAAAAATGGTAGTTTAGTTTAATATTGGTGTTCAGATATAAAGAACTCATGACATTTAACCTTTAAAGTAGCTGCATTATGGTATAATAACGTATTACAAATTATTATCTTAAGTCGTTTAGATATAGCTTAGAGTGTAAGATATTTTACATCAGTTGTTATATTTTATTCACATCATTTGAAAACAAAGTCCTTGGGTTATTTTGACCCCTGGTCAGGGCCGGGTTTAGAAGGATGTTGGCCCTGGGCTGCAGCCATATTTGGTGCCCCGTCCGTAAAAAAGCTAAAATATTTTATTAATGTCTGTATATCAGCAGTTTTGTTCCTAAAACGATGGGCTATAATTTACCTGAATAGTATTTACATGTTGTATGAAGTGCAATATTTGCTAAACATTTGTATTTATTTTAGCCATTTCCTGATTTCTGAAGATCAGCACATCTCCCCTGTTTGAACATGTTCTCTTGTCTTTCCCCTTTTGAAGAGTTCTGCACAGAAATGGAATCTTTTGTGACCAGATATTTTTACCCCAGAAAAACAGGAATTTCCTGACTAACAGTCAATTATTTATATTCACTTCTCCATATGAAATTATTGGGGAAATTTGATTCATTTAGTGATGAAGTGTTTCTTAAGTCTTTTTCAATGTAACACAATAAAAATTAAAACCAGATAAAAGAGGAATATGAAAATAATTCCAGTTTATTGGCAATAGTTTAATTTTAGTAATATTTACTTAAAATAAATTAATTTGATGTTAATGATTGTAAGAATTAAACAAGTAACCAACAATGAATAAACTTAGTACAAGGCTCAACACAAAATTAAACATCCCAGGAAAAAACCCCTGAAATACAACAAAATCAGAGATGGTCAGAAAACGGATAATGAGGGATTTAATATGAAAGACTCTTTGTGTTGCACCATTTCCTGGATTCTCAGTTGATTGGGTTGTAATCCCACATAATGATTGGAGGCATCAAAATCTTGTTTTAGTTCAGAATTCACTCACACTTTGTGTGATCTGAACAGTTTTAAGGTTTGCTTTTCAGGATGGGATTAAGGAAAGGCACCAGCCTTGTGTATGAAACTGTAGCATAACATAAGATTACATGTTTGTTTTTATTGTTTGCTGTAGGAATATAATCTAATCCAATAAATTCAAAAGCGAAATTGGTGTGTCCTTGTCGGTTTGTCCTAACGTTGGTGTGAACTGCTTGAATGGAGATCAGGTGTAAAAAACCTGGAGACCAGGACTGAAATGATTAGTCCAGTTATTCATGATTAATTGGTTATTGAGATAATCGTCAACTAATTTGGTAATTTATTAATCGTTAACTGGAATATTCAGTCTGAAAAAGGCCATTTACTGAAAAAAAAAACATGTTCAGGGGAGTAGTTAAAATAAAACTGTACAGGAATTCATTCTGAATTTAAAATAAAAATGTTTTTGTTTGTAAATATGTTTTAGGCAAAACTCCAGTTTTAGTTTCACTCAGTTCAGATTTAATAAAGGAATGCTGTTATTGAATTTTAATCAATAAAACATTTTCTTCTTATTTAAGAGGAATTGAATTATTTATTTCTCATATTTCTAAAGTTTAAAAAAGGCATAAGGAGTTAGATGAAAAATCAATGTGCCATTTTTTAACTCTGATTCATTGATTAGTCATTAGAATAATCAATAGATTAATCAGTTACCAGAATGTTGTTAGTTGCAGCTCTGCTGGAAACAGGTCCAGCATGGAGTCGGTCCTGCATGGCGCCTGAACTCCTCTCCTGCATCCAGTCGATTCTCAGCCGTGTATTTTTTGCTCTTTTTCTTCCTCCGGCTCGTTTCCACCCTGGGGTCTGCGTTTAACGCCGGGCCGCAGCACCGGAGGTCAACGGCGTGCAGGAGCCCAGCATGGCCAAACGTCTCCGTGGAACCCCGGAGCGGATCGAGCTGGAGAACTACCGCCTGTCCCTGCAGCGGGAGGAGGAGCTGGAGGAGGTGCCGGAGGAGACGCTGGCCGAGCACAACCTGAGCAGCGTGCTGGACAAGGCCACCGACGTCGACTTGGGCTCCAGGTCAGATCCTGTGAACGAAAGCGTTAATTCACGCTGTTTTAAAGCCATTTATGTCTTTTTTATACGCTGTGAATTTTAGGTTTCTGCAGTTTGAACATCATTTCCTTCTCTGTTTCTCTGTGGGGATAGTCTCCGGTTTCTTACAAACGTAATCTGAACTCCACTCTCTCTGCACAGGAAAAACTAATATAAGCATTTAATATCAGTTGATGTTGATAACTATTAATATTGATAATTATTGATTAGTTTTTTTTGTTTAAAATACCTGAAATACTGACACACTGTTGACATTTACTTTCTGTTTTATCCACAGTTTTCACTCGATGCCGTTGTTTTTTATTTTTAAGCAGTTATGAGGCATGAGGGCGGAACATGAAACTGAGTCCTGCACAAGTTAGGTTGTTGCTAGGCAACCGAAGACTGAGTTAGTTGATGCCACCCACCTCGCTTAATGAGAGGTTGAGCAGATAAATCCTGTCCTCTGCCTACATCTCCCAGAATGCTGTTGGGTTCAGTGAATATTCTTTATATTGAATATTCTATCAGATGTACCGTCTATCAATTGTCTATCGTGATATTGTTATTGATGAATTCTCCTTTTCTTTTGTTTTGGTTTGTAATTTTTGTGCTTTGCTTCTTTATTTTCTTAACAGTAGCTCTGAGTCTGACATGGAGGAAGAGGATGAGCAGGAGGAAGAGGCGGAGGCAGAGGAGCAGCCGGCCAGCCCGTCGGACCTCGGCGGCGTTCCCTGGAAGGAGGCCGTGGAGCTCCACGCCAAACTGCGAGGCGGTGAGCTGGAGGACGAAGCTCTGGCTGATGCTGCCAGCAGGGATGGAGACGTGGAGGAAGACGAGGAAGAAGAGGAGGAGGAGGAGGGCGAGGAGGAAGATGAGGAAGAATCCAGTGATGGTGATTTTTTTTTTATTATTTGGTCGTTTTTTCTAGTCTAATCCTATTTTTATGTATGTTTACATCCTGTTCACACTGTTGTCAAGACAACCCACAGCTCCACCTGCTGTTTGTCAAAAGAAGTGTTTTGTTTAAATGTCGCCTTCATCACTGTCCTTATCCTATTACTTTGTCTTCACCCTTCCTCCTCCTCATCCTCATCCTATGTGTGTATGTGTACTGTTTTGGGTGTTTGTCTCCCCCTGCTGTCAGAGGGGGATTACTGCCCCTGGGACAGAGAGCTGCAGTCAGGTCTGTGGCTGGAGAAGCACCTCACTGATGAAGAGGATGTTGGTAAATTCAAAGGTAGCAACAGAAGTGCTTGCGGTGGCGTTTGCAGAAAGCTGACATAACTCTGGCTGATTTCAGTTTCTAAGCTTCTCTACTCTAGGAGCTCCGTTTCTGTTGCTGTGTTTTTGTTTTTGTCGTGGTTTGTTGGTTGAAGTTTTTCCATTTCTGTAAAATTAAAAACTAGGCATGGGTCGGTTAACAGCATCAGAACCGCTAAAACTTTCTGTCAGAACTGTAGCAGAGACACCTGAGAGGGTCGTAATGCAGCACAGCCTCTTCCCCACGTGTTACTGCGCACAGCAGCTCAGCTGGCTGAAAGAAAAATTCACAACCTTTTTGTCACTCAGACAGGAAAACTCCCTTTAGCAACTTGATGAGCAGCTGTTTTAAAACAGCAGTTGGCTACAAACGATATGTCTTAAGCTGTTCTTAAAGAGACAGAGACCAATTTCAGGCTTTGTTGCAAAGTCAGACTTCCTGTAAGTTGTTTTGATATTTGCAGTATTTCCATAACAACTGAAGCTCACATAGTTACTGTGCTAAAAAATGAGACTACATGCCTGGAAAATGCATAATACTTTAAACTCTGAAATATCACTTTTACTGATTTATTGCCTCTTTCAGCACAAATGGCTGTAAACACACATCTGTAATTTAGACTTTATTGCAGTTAAGCAGAAAAGAAGAGCTGTAGACAAGTTTGAGCTGATTTTACTCAATAATATAATGCTAAAAAATCAATCATTTCAAAAAGCCTCAACAACGCCTGACTGCAGCCGTTTTCTCACAGGTTTAAACGTCACTGTGTCATAATATTTTAGCACCAGTGGGAATAATTGTTGGTTTTCCTTTGATAAATCAACTAATTACATTTGGTTTGACCTTTTTTGGTGAATCCATAAGATTTTGACTCAGACCGGCCCATGCCTACTGCAGACCATTTAACCTGCTTATTAAAGCCTATTTTTATTTTTATTTATTTTTATTATTAATCTAATAAACTCCACAGATTCCTCAGGCGCTGCTGTTATGATTTGTTATTGGTTGGCAGCATTGCTGTGTATTCAACAAACGTGCATTTCTTTTTAACTCGTAATTTTCTTATTTTTTAGTGTTTTTGCAGCGTATGAATGCATGCAGACTTCCTGTAACTCTTCCATTCGGAGATCGTTCTGCCCACTCAGTGACTCTTTCTTCCTTTTCTCTCTTTTCATTTCTTGTCTGTTTTCCCTCCTTTTTCCTTGTTTTTCCTCTTGTTCGCCTTCCTGTCCAATCGTGCGTCTCGTTACTGAAAAACACGACAAACGTTTAGCCAGGAACATACAGCTCCAGCAGCTCCTCCAGCCGGTGGATCCCAGCGCCATTCCGAGTTTGGCGAGAGCGCGGCGGGGTTCTGACCCGGACGGCCCGGTGGGTTCTGAGCCCACTCTGCCCCCCTCCACAGGTAACCCGCCCGGAGGCGCCGTCGTCCGGACATGTTGAGGATCTGATCTCATCGTGGCGGTTCTGTTTGAACATCTGTGTGTGACGGGGGGGGTCCGCCCTCCACTAACCCACCTGCTATTTTTAACCATCTCTGATTTTGTTTTATGTTTTTTTCTGGAATGTTTAATTTTGTGTTGAGCCTTTTTCATGTTTCATCCAGAGTTGCTGTGTAACGTTCTCCAGCCTCGTCCCAGTGCACCATGTAACCCCCCCATCTGTTCCGTTGATATTTTTGGTTCTGCTTTGTTCTGTTGTGTTCTGCTCGGTTCTTTTCCCATGTGTCTAATTGCTTTGCCGTTATTTCCCCCGCCATCTTTCTGTTGTTCTTCTGGTTTGAGCGTAGCTCCCGCCCACACATCCACCCGACACGAGGCAGTGAGGGTCTGGTTGGAGTCGTTGTCTGGAGGTAGCACAGACCTGAACGGGGATTTGTGTTTTTATCCGTCTGTCGGCTGGCCTTTCCCTGCAGCATGCAGAAAAGCTCATGAGCATGCATGCAGCCTGCAGCACCGCAGCCAGCCATCAGACCAGCATCTGTTTCTCACCAAGCTTCTCATTTCACCCGTTGCCTTCTAGAAACAAGCTTTCTCTGGCTTCATGTGCGTTTATTTCACAGAATGAGCTGCTGAGCTCTGGAAACGTTTCCGATGTCTACAGATGTGTTCAGCTTCGTCACATTTTGTTACATTACAACAAACAACAAGGATTTTACTGGGATTTGATGAACAGATGTTTATACATTAATATACATGTTAATAGTGATGAATTGATTATTGGAGTAATCATTAACTAATTCAGTAATCAAATAATTATTAACTGGAGTATACAGATAGTTTTCTGAAAGAACAACACAGTCAGAGCAATAATAAAATACAGTTTCTGCATTTAAAATGAAAAGCCTTCATCTGTAAATCTGTTCTACCCAGAGTGGCAGTTTTAGCTTCACCTGGTTTAAATTTTGGGAAATCTCCTCTTAAGCACCTTTTGCTGTATAATTATTAACTGGTTAGGAGAAAAAACAACCTTTAGATCATCGCTGCTCTGTGTTGATGTTCAGTCCAGCAGAAAGCGCTGAGCTGTTCATGTTTGATGTTAGAAGGATTTTTTGGTGCATCTGTTGCTCCGCCTGATCAAGAGTTCACTAAAGGAGCGCTGCTATTGAAGTTCAGGTAATAAAATGTTTATTTCCTTATTTACAAAGGAACTGAATTATTAGTTTATTTGCATATCTTAATGTATCTTTAATATTGTATAAAAAAGGCTTAAGTGGTCAAATGAAAAAATCTGCTGAATGTGTTAATTTTTTAATCTAACTTATTGTCAGGATAATTTGTTAGTAAAACATCCATTAGCTGGAGCCCTGTTAAAAGTTAGTCTGTCTCATAGCATCCCAATAAAATTCATGAAAGTTTGAGTGACACAATGTGAAGTTTGAGGGATATGAATATTTTTGCAGAGCCTCTGTATGTTTACTTATGCAGGATTTATTTCTATCAGACATAGCTGTGATGGTTCAGGTATTTGCAGACTAACTCCTCTTGAACATGCATAACTTATTGGTGTGAAACTGGTGAAGTTTCCTTTAATCTGCATGAATGACTGAAAAAGTCGCCGTACTGATGCACAGTTCAGTCAGATCAGACTCGCTACAACGACTCTTTCCTTTCCTGTGCATCCACGCATTCATGTGAACAGACTTAGTTTAGTGATGACTGGAGGAGTGGTTGGACTGAATTATTGCATGAAATGCTTATTTTTTGTTTTCTTGCTTCAGGTTTGTTTGGGGAAAGCAGCTTTTCCTGTAATCTGCTGCTTTTTAACAGTTTAGTTTCTGCTTCTGCTTGGATCAAACATAATGGACGTCTGCATGCATCTTCATCACTAAGTTCACTCTGGTTTTCTTTTGTTCATGTATTACAGATGACAGACCATTACTGTCATCTGTGCACTAAACCTTTCTGTAGCACATCAGTTTCCTAGTGCCGAATGGAGTTAAATGGATTCTGGCTTTGAAACCTATTCATGATTTTTCAATGATTTATTCATTTATTTTTTTAAGTTTTTTTTTTGTTTGTTTTGTTCAAATTGATCCCAATATCTTTGGAGCAACAAACTTTCAGAGAAAAGTTGATTCAGACTCTTAGGCTGTCAGGGAATTGGAAAAAGTTCTCACCCATTATTGACCTCAGACAGTCTGCAGCGGCCAGGTTATTCATTTCTCTCCGTTTTGGTTTCATACCAGAACCGTGTGAGGATGAAGAGCTGGAAGCTGAAGCTGACAGTCCGGACATGGAGCCCGGCACGGAGCTGGACCAAGGTAAAGAGAATCAAACATTCATCTGTTCTTCATATATCAGAATTATAAAAAGAAGGTTATGTATTATAATATTATTGCTTGTTGAGCAAAAGCATGAAGATACAGTAGAAACCAGATAGTTACATTCTTGACAGAATAAAAATGTTTTTTTTGTAAGACAGTGAGAAAACATTTAGATGTCCTTTTATTCTGCATATGTGAATATCTGCCATCCATCCATCCATTTTCTGTACATCCTTGTCCCTACTGGGGTCAGGAGGGGTGCTGGTGACCCAGAGGCCGGGTCACCCTGGACAGGTCGCCAGTCTGTCGCAGAGATATCTGTGCAAATAATCACAGAAACATGAAAAGTTTCCCAACTTATTCTACATAAGCTGCAGTAAAAGTTGAGTTTGTTCCTTCACAGCAGCCTCCCTGTTGAATGTGATTGGTCAGATAAATTCAGTCAGTATTTCATTCTCCTCAGTGATTTCATGTAACTCCGTTTGTCCAGATGACATTCCTTCGGATGCAGAAGCTGAGGCTCGGCTGCAGCAGTCGGAGCAAAACGAAGCTCCTCCAGAGGAAAACCAGGACACAGAAAGTCTGGGGAGAGACTCGAGTTTTGGTACAAAACACAAGCTGTTCAGTCAAGCTGGTATTTTAGGAGATATTTTACAGAAGTATTATACATCACTGAAGCTTTTCTGTATTTTTCACTGTTTGGGGGATGCTAGCTAGGTGATTTCATCAGGGGGTTTTTTCAGGGTTTTCAGAGTAAATGGGGCTGAACGCAGATTTCTATTTGTAAATAAACGCCTATAAAACATTGTTTTCCTTTTGTTTTAAAGTTATGAGCTGCTTTTGTGTCTGTTAGCTCCATCCAGTTAAAATAGTTTATTTGTGTGGAGGTAATGGATGATGGGTTTCATTCTTGCTGTGACTTTAGACCCAGCCAGCTCCAGCTCACTGCTGAAGGACGACGTCGTTCTTTCTCCCCTCAAGCCGCCGGCTGAGCCTGTCAGCCCGGTAAGAAATTCTACTTACACAACGTTAAAATTATGTTTTTTTCAGGAACTCTAACGTTCCCTGCTCCTGCAGGTGAAATCTCCCGGCATCCGTTTCTTCCCGGATCCCTTCTTACCGGAGGAAGAGAAGACAGCTGTGCCCCCGGCTGTCAGGAGCCAAATCAGCCCTTCATCCGTTTCATTTTCCGCTCCCATCCCGTCTCCCGTTCCTACCGTCACGCTCCCCTCCGCCTCTTCCCCTCCTGTCTCGCCCGCCGCCTCTCCGCTGAAGCCAGCTGACCAGTCGCCCGTCAAGTCGCCGCTCGGCTCCCCGATTCGCTCCCAGCCCATCTCGCTCCCGGAGACACGCGCGCCTAAATCCCCGGTCTTCCCCCACCGCTCCATCTGCCCCCTGACAGGAAACCCCCTTTCCCCGATCTGCGCCCAGCCTTTGCCCTGCCAGGAAGCCTCCTCACCTCTGACCTCTGACTCCCCCGTCAGGACGCAGCCCGTCAGCTCAACGCCCGAGCCGCTCAGGTCCGCCGACTCCTCCATCGAGGAAAACGCCTCGAAAAAGTCAGACATCATCGAGGAGTTCTGGCTGAAGAGTGCAGAGATCCGGAAGAGCCTCGGCCTCTCTCCTTTAGATCGCAGCAGTAAAATCCTGGAGAAGACCCCGATACCGGACCCGACCCCCGTGAAGCCGCTGTCCACCGGGGAGCCGAAGCCGGCGTTCACCGGCCGCACCGTCATTCGCAGACTCAACATCACCCTGGAGGGTCAAGTCATCACGCCGATCGCTCCCGCTGCGGCCAAGAGCGACACAAACCTAACGGCGAACGGCGACAGCTGCCGCACGTCGGACTCCACCCTGCTCACCCCGCCCTCCAGTCCGCCACCGCCCGTTCCCGCCAACCAGTCTCCGGCAGTGCTCAGGCAGAAGAGACATCAGGCGTCTTGGAGCAACGGAACGGAAAAGCTTCCAGCCGACGCTCCGGTTCCTGCGCCCAGGACGCAGCTGAGTCCCGTCCCCGCGCCCAGGAAGCCGTCGTCCCCTGAGGCGGCGCCACAGACCGCCCCGGTGGTGATAATGAGGGAGAAGAAGAAGCAGCCTCGGCCGGCTGAGGTGAGGAAATCGTTTGTGGAGACGGTTGAGGAGATTCCTTTTGCCGACGATGTGGAGGAGACGTACGATGAGCGCACGGCAGAAACGAGCCAGAACAAGAGTCAGGCGCCGCCCGCCATCAAGCCACCGCTGCACCTGGCGTTAGCCATGGAGAACGGAAAGCCGAACATCCCAGTAATCCCAGTTTCCAAATCCCAGAGGGCCACTCGGTTTTCCCCAGAGGCCAAGGAGATCGCAGAGGAGAGAATCAGAGCAAGAGAGAAGTCTGTGAAGAGCCAAGCTCTCAAAGACGCCATGGCCAAGCAGCTGAACAAAATGAAAGAGTCCGACCCAAACAGGAGCGACTCCCCTAAGCTGGCCTGGAGCGCCACTCCGGATTCAGCTGGAAAGGCCAAAAAGTCACCCGGATCTCCCAAAACGTCGGCCGTGAAGGCGCTGGAGTCGAAGAAAGAGTCTGTTCCTGAGCGTTTCTTCAGCAGCAACAAGAGTCTGGACAGCTCAGTGGCGTCGTCAGAGGGATCGTCAACGGGCAAGAGCAAGAAGCGGAGCTCCCTCTTCTCACCCCGCAAGAACAAGAAGGAGAAGAAAGCCAAAAACGACGGCAGCCGGCACTCTGGCGCCGAGGAGACGCCGCCCAAACATAAGTCGCTCTGGAAGGCCGTGTTCTCTGGATACAAAAAGGACAAGAAGAAGAAGGACAACAAGTCGTGTCCGAGCACGCCGTCGTCCAGCTCCACCACCCAGGACTCGGGGAAGAAGAGGACGTCACCTCTGGGGAAAAGCTCAGGTCAGATCCACGTTCAGAAGTCCAGTGTTTCTGAAGGTTTGTATCCTGGAGGTTCATGTTTTCTTCTCTCTGCGTTGGACAGACTTCAAGACTCGGAGGAACCTGAGCTTTTCCGAGGACTCGGACCTGTCCTGTGATGATGTTCTGGAGAGATCGTCCCAGAAATCAAAGGCAGACGTGAGTAAAGTTTCACAAATCAGCTCCGTCTGCCAAGCCAGGAAGCCTCAGGCGGCAGAGCGTTTACACAGAACCACGACGGCACAGCGCCTGACCGAAGCGTTCACACTGAAGTCTGCAAACAAATAACTTTAATCAGGGGCGGATCTAGAAAAATATTTATGGGGTGGCAAGAGGGGGGCAGGGATTTTTTAGGGGTGGCAGTATATATATATATATATATATATATATATATA